TTTTAGGTACTTAGACTGTGATCTCTTTGCTGGCTCCCCATTGCTTAAAGAGGTCAAAACTCAGATGACTTGTATACATGCTTATAAGCCTAACCAGTGAGCACAGACACCAAAAGGGTGAGGGCATGACTAGGGGTGGGTGTGTGGGACAATAGGGGGATAAGGACACGTGTAATACCTTAATCAATACAGAAAAAATAGTGGGAAAAAAACCACTCAGATGCCTATAGGGTGTGGGCAGGTAACACACATGCATAAAGTGGGATGGATATAGCATGATAGGGAGACATGTTAGCATAAATAATCATTTTTATGAAAAATGGTAATTTTAGATATTTGATACCTGGCTTATAGAAGATAGTGGATTCTTATAACTGGGTCTTCATTTAATCTGTTGTGATACGTTGTTTTGGTTGAAGCATATGAAAGAAACTATCGATAGAACTTCAAAGACTTTTCAAAAGGGTCCTAGGATCCCCAGGGGTTGCCAGACTATAGAGGACTCTTCCTGTATCAGATTGTTGATTTGTAGAAATGTGAGCTAAGTGGTATTAAAGTTTCTGATATTTTAAGAGAAGCAGAGATCCTGAAATCGATTGACATTAAATTTTGACAGCTAATTGACATTGATACAAAAAGGCTGATTGGACCAAATAAAACATGTCAATGAGTAAACATTGGATTGGAAATCTTGGTTTTGTAATGTGGCCTGTGGGATTACATATAGACTTTTAGTCTAACATTCACATGTTTCGTATCCTTAGTCTCATATGTCACTGCTCTGTACAAATTCCTTCTTTGAGCAAAATTGTCTATTCATGTTCTTCTAACATGTCTTACCCTTCCTTCCCTGACTTCATGCATTTGTTCACTTTTTCTCTCCTGCCTTGAATGTCCTTTCTTTCCTTTATTTTTAAAAATATATATTCTTATTGATTTCAGAGAGGAAAGGAGAGTGAGAGTGAGATAGTAACATCAGTGATGAAAGAGAATCATTGATCTGCTGTCTCCTGCAATCATTGAGCTTGCAACCCCAGCATGTGCCCTGACTGGGACTTAAACCATGACCTCCTGTTTCATAGGTTGACGCTCAACCACTGAGCCATGCTGGCCAGGCTGTCCTTCCTTTTCTTACCATCTATCCCAATCTTTCTTTCTTCTTAGCACCCTTTTCATATTTTACTTCTTCACTGGATTCTCTCATCACTGGATTCTAAAGTAGCTTCTTTCTTCCCTGGCCATCTCAGACCTTTAAAGACTGCTTGACTTGTTTGGGATTTAGACATTTTACATAGTTGTCCTGAGTTGCTATTTATGCAACGTATATAAAGCATTGAGCACTGTTGGCATATAGTAAGACCTTCACAAATGGGTGTTCTGATATCTTTTGTTTGTATCTTACTTTTTTCTCTCCAACTATCTATTTAAAGGTGAAGTCTTGCCTCTTAGTATTTTCTAAAATGCTCAGTATTGCTTTGCATGACATAAGTACACAGCAAAAATATATAGAAGGTGGGGAAAAAAGGTTTACAGTTGTTCATATGGAAAATAAGACAATAGTTAATAATAATAATAATAATAATAATAATACAAGATGAACTCTGTTTCCCTTTCAACTATAAACCTATTTTTGCCCCATCCTGTATTTTTAAACCATATTAGGACAAGGGACAATAATTTAAAGGTAAGAAAATATATCTCGTGTGAAAATTTTCCCTGGTAAAATTATGAGTTTAAAAATCTGTATTAAGTACAAACCACCTATTTAAAGTTGAAAGGATACTTACTTTCATTTATTCTACAGAGACCTTATCACCCAAGAAATGTCCAGAGAGAAAAGCTTTCTTCCTTGGCAAAGCAAAAGGCCTCAACTTGCCAAACAAATTTGAGCAGAGGGGGGATAGGGAGAAGAATATGAGCCCTGAAAGGTAATGCATTGGTATTTTTTCTGTTTTTACTAAATATGATTGTATTTTTTTATTGTCTTTGTTTATAGATTTTAGAGAGGAAGGGAGAGGGAGAGAGAGATAGAAATATCAATGAGAGAGCATCATTGATTAGCTGTCTCCCGCACTCCTCCTACTGGGGATCCAGGCCACAACCTAGGCATGGTCCCTGACCAATAATCGAACCATGACCTCCTGGTTCATGGATCTGTGCTCAATCACTGAGCCACATTGACCAGGCTAAATATAGATTTGAGTAATTTCTTGGTGTAGGGAGTTTAAGTAAGTTTTTATCCATTCCTTCATCCAGTATTCTTGAGTACAGGTTATGTACTAGGTGACGAGGATAGTAGGGACAATAAGAGCTCACGATCTAGTGGGGAAAACATATACATAGAACAACAAATTCAGTAGGTAAAGTGCTATGATACAGATGGAAACAAAATAGCACAGAGTGGGAAATATCTAACTTTTCTTGTGGATTTGGGAAAACTTCCCTTTTTTGTTTTCTGAGTGCTTGGATATTATGATGTGACACAGTTTTATTTTATTTTATTTTTAAAAAATATATTTTATTGATTTTTACAGAGAGGAAGGGAGAGAGATAGAGAGCTAGAAATGTCGATGAGAGAAACATCTACCAGCTGCCTCCTGCACACCCCCCACCGGGGATACGCCTGCAACCAATGTACATGCCCCTGACCGGGATCGAACCCAGGACCCTTCAGTCCGCAGACCGACGCTCTACCACTGAGCCAAACCGGTTTCGGCGTGACACAGTTTTATAGTGAGATCAAACTGGAAAGCAGTTTTGCCATACATGCTGACACTCAATAGTTATGTTCTTTTTTTAAAATATATTTTATTGATTTTTTACAGAGAAGAAGAGAGAGGGATAGAGAGTTAGAAACATCGATGAGAGAGAATCATTGATCAGCTGCCTCTTTCACACCCCCTTCTGGGATGTGCCCGCAACCAAGGCACATGCCCTTAACCAGAATTAAACCTGGGACCTTTCAGTCCACAGGCTGACACTCTATCCACTGAGCCAAACCGGTTTTGGCAGTTACGTTCTTTGAGTGAATCAATGTATTGCAAGTTATGATGGCTGTGTCTTTTTCTTGTTATGTATGTCAAAAAATTTCTATTTTCTCCTCCCTTTGAGTAGGATACTTTTCAAGACCACAAATCAGTCAACCACACGCAAGTATTTTTTTTTTCTTTAAAAAAATTTTTTTTAATTAATTACAGAGAAAGAGAGATATCAATTTGTTGTTCCACTTAGTTATGCATTCATTGGCTGATTCTTGTATGTGCCCTGACCTGGGCCAAGCCTCGACCTTGCCACACGCAAGTATTTATTGAGTATTTTTATGTGCCTTGTACTGTGCTGTCAACTTTCATTTTATTAATGAATCAGCTGTTACGTGTGCTTTATATGTACTTTTTGGGTTACTAAAGTCCTGTTCAAAACTCTAAGCATGCTTGTTTTGGATAACCTGTTACTAAATATAATTTAGAGTTAAATGTCTAGTACTTTGTAATTTAGTTCAATCCACCACACATTGAGTACCATCCTGTGCCAGGAAGTTTTTAGACACCGAATGTACATAGCTATACGACATATAAAAGACATAAACCTGCTTTAATAAAATATATAGACTTGTAGGAAGACTGACACTAAAGAAATAATGCATGTGATGAAAATGACAAAAGAAGATACAGAGGCTACAAAGAAGAGAAAGTAATTATTAGTGAAGGTTTCCTATAGAAATTGACAAACAAATGCCTTTTGTGCTGATTACTAAAATAATACATTTTTATCACAAAAAATTTTGAAAGAATGAGAATAGAAAGAGATATAAAAATTACCAATGATCCCAGCATATTCTTCATTTTAACTCATATATAATATATACATACATTTATATTTGCAACATATACACATATTTTAAATAAAACTGAGATTGTCTGAACCTTTGTTATACTTAACAACAAGTGGTGAGGATCCCTATGGCTTAAGTATTCTAAAACATGACAAATTATTGCACATCATCTCATTGATTAAACCTTTTGTTAAACCAATCTCCTATTGCAGCGTTTTTCAACCGCTGTTCCTGGTGTGCCGTAGTTGCAGACAAGACAAGAATTTTATAATTTTTCACTATTTTGTTTACTTAATATTCATAATAAAGTAATTATAAAATACTTTCTTTGTGTTTATTTGATTCCTATTCAAGAGAATTACTTTATATATAGTCAATATAGGCACAGAGTTAAATTTTTTAACATTTTCTAATGGTGGTGTGCCTCGTGATTTTTTTCATGAAACAAGTGTGCCTTTGCCCAAAAAAGGTTGAAAAACACTGTCCTATTGGATAATTTAGACAAGTTTCAATTTCTTAAATGATGTCGTGATAAATATAATTATACATAAATCCCTTGCACACACCTGAGGATAAAAACTTTAAAGTAAAATTTCAGAGAGAAGGAAGGAGACCATTTAAAAAAAAATATCTATTTTATTGATTTTTTACAGAGAGTAAGGGAAAAGGATAGAGAGCCAGCAACATTGATGAGAGAGAAACATGGACTAGCTGCCTCCTGCACAACCCCTACTGGGGATGTGCCTGCAACCAGGGTACATGCCCTTGACCGGAATCAAACCCGGGACCCTTCAGTCTGCAGGCCGACGCTCTATCCACTGAGCCAAACCGGTTAGGGCAGGTGACCATTTTTATGCCTTTGTTGCACTTACTAATTATCCTCAAAAAGATTGTACCCAATTGCCTTCCTAGTAGCAATAACATAAGGGACTGCTGTTTTCGCTACACCTTGCTAATACTGGACATTGTGCCCTTAGTGGCTTCCCATTCTCACCCAGGGCAAAAGCCAAAGGCATTATTATGGCCTTTGAGGTCCTGCCTGATCTCTGACCTCCCATAGCTGCACTGAACATGGGCATGCTCCCACTGCACGGACTTTGCACTCATTGGCTCTGCCTAGAATGCCTCTTCATCAGATACCTGCATTCCTTTTTAAAAATATATTTTAGTGCTCGCTCCAATGGCACATATACTAAAATTAGATACAGAGAAGATTAGCATGGCCCCTGCACAAGGATGACTACACACACACACACACACACACACACACACACACACACACACACACACATTGATTTCAGAGAGGAAGGGAGAGGGAGAGAGATAGAAACATCAATGATGAGAGAGAATTGCCAATCGGCTGTCCCCCAACTCCATGCCTCTATGGGGGATTAAGCCCATAACCCAGACATGTACCCCGACTGGTTATCGAACTGTGACCTATCAGTTCATAGGTCAAAGCTCAACAACTGAGACACATTTTTTCCTCATTTCCTTCAGATATTTACTCAATTGTCTCCTTGGTGAGAACTTCTCAGGCCATTCTAGTTATGGTTCAATACTCTATTCTTCCAGCACTGTGTGGCACATAACACCATAAAAAATACTATATAGTTGCCTTGGCTGGGTAGTTTAATTGATTAGAGCATTGTCCCAATATGCCAAGGTTGTGGGTGCAATCCTCAGTCTGGGTACATAAAAGAATCAACCAATGAATGCGTAAGTAAGTGGTACAACAAATCAATGTTTCACTCCCTCCCTCCCTCTCTCTCTCTAAAAAAACATTAAAATGTTATATAGTTCACTTATTTTTCTTGTTTATTGGCTATCTGCCTGTCCTCATCAGAATGTTAATTCCACAGAGATCTTTGTGTATGTGTGTGTTTTCTTCACTGCATCTTCCATGCCAAGAACAGTGTACACAGTAAGCACTCAATACATTTTTTATAGAATGAATAACTTTTATCCTCATTTCACAGAATTTGCAACTGAGATTTTATAAGACTACCCAACTTGTTTAATGCCAGTCAGCTTGTAAGCTAAAAATCTGGTCAAGTCCATGTTTATCTGACACAAATCATAGGCTCTTAACCTTTCCAGATACAGATGCTCTGAAGAAAACCACTGAGATATTTACTCTGTCTTTTATATTTACACTTTCCTCTAAAATGATCATTGCTCTCGATGTTGCACTGTGTTAAACATGAATTAATGTTGCATTGTTTTTATAGCTTACCATCGTCACGGTGCCAGAAAAGTGACAATGAAATGAAACCTAAAATTCCTCCAGCCAGTGCTTGCCAAAATCATAATAAGGCAGGACAGGTATGGAGTTTCAAACAAAACTCAATCAGAACCTTCTTCTGACTTCGTGTTTCTCAGTGAGGGTTTTGGGAATCACTCTTTAACATGTAGATATGGCTCCAGTACTCAGGACTCCAAATTGGACTATCATCCATCTATCTACTAGACAATCAACTAATTAGAAATAGGACTGGGAGACTTCTTAATTTTCAGTCGCTATCAAATGAGTGTTGAGTAAATCCTCTTAAATATTTGTGGGGCCCACTCTGTAAATCTAATTTTGCTAATTACCATTAACATATCCTTTTATAATGTCTGCGTTTTGATACACCTAACCTTTGGAGAGCTTGTGAAGGCAAAAAAGTAAAAGGTAAAACTTAATTTGTTCTAAAACTTGGTATTGCAGGAGTTGTGTTACGTATGTTTGCAACGAGCACAACAAAATTCCCCATTGTACAACAGTAAGGAGAAGAGGAGGAGAGAGATAGAAGAGGAGCGACTCCTACAGCAGTACCAGATATTGAAAGATCAAAATACTTTCTTCAAGAACCAGGTAATCCAATGCCTTGACAAAAGTGTGTTTAACATGAGACAGTCGACCACGATTATAAAAAGGCATTTAAAATGTCCTATTGCATGCCTGTAATGTAATACATTTCATCATTTACGTACTGCAGAACTGCAACTTAGGTTTGTGTCCAAGTTTTCACTAATAATAAACAACACTGGGATGAATATTCAAGCAGCTGATTTCTACCCCTTCCCCCATAATGACTGAGTTTTAAAGTTGGAATTCCTGGATTTATATGGCTTTATTGTTCATTTCTGGTAAAATATAATACTGGCCAATGCTTCCTTCTTCAAATTCATGGCCTGTGTCAAGAAGCAAAGACATAATGGCACCTTTGCAGGTGCACTGTCAATAATTGTTCTTTGATCATCAATAATTGACCCTTTCTTGCATTTGTGATATCAGGTAAGGAACCTTCCATTCTTCATATGCACAGGGAATAAACACTTTCCCCAACCATTGCCTCCAAAAGGCAGGTTTCTACCTTGGTTGGATGATTATTATTTTTTTTAAATATATTTTTATTGATTTCAGAGAGGATGAGAAAGGGAGGGAGGGAGGGAGGGAGGGAGGGAGGGAGGGAGAGAGAGAGAGAGAGAGAGAGAGAGAGAGAGAGAGAGAGAGAGAGAGAGAAATATCAATGATGAGAAATAATCATTGATTGCTGCCTCCTATACACACCACATTGGGGATCGAACCTGTAACCTGGGCATGTACCCCTGACTAGGAACCAAATGGTGACCTTCTGGTTCATAGGTTGATAGTCAACCACTTAGCCACACGGGTTGGGCTTAGGTGGGTTATTTTAATGTAGTTGAATTAATTTTTTAAAGGGTATATTTCAATATGTTTTTCTCCTCCCTAAAGATAAGAAATCTGGCTAATAGAGTACAGAATCAAAAAAACGCTGCCTATAATCTTGGAGTTGCTGAAGCTGTGCGAATCCACAAGAACGAGAAACCTGGATTTTATGTAAGGGTCTTGTTAGAATTTCTGTTGTGAATACTTGCCCCCTCTGTGAATTTTGGGCTCTGTTAACAAAGAATTCCAGCCTATAGGAAAGTTTCATAAGAGTTTATTTGAGTCAAAAATTTGAGGATCTGCCCAGGAGCAAAATCTGAAAGGATTGAGAAAATGCTCAAGAGAATGGCAATTTTGTAGCTTATTTTATACTTTAGAATCAAAGGAGAGAACCTAAAGAAAGTTACATGAAGTCCATTGGTAGTAAATCAAGGGAACAGAAAAAAGCAAAGTGGGGAAATTTCTGGGATTAGATAAAAAAGCAAGATAGAAAAACATACTTTTTACACTTGTGGGTAAAGGGTAGTTAATAATTAACAGCATGAAGAGAAGGTATGTGGGGAACAAGATAACAATGTGGGGTTTGATGATCTTGTGCAGATGGTTGTGCCTTTGAGGAATAGGAAAAGGAAATTTCTCTGACATTTCCTAGATGCGTAAGAACAATAGACAGAGTTTATAAGGTAAAGGTTGACCTTGGCTAGGGAAGCTACAGGCCTGGGGTATGACCACCTGCTGGATGACCTGCCCAGGTGGAAATTTATAATCAGACCATCCTGCATGGTCACCGAGTTTGTAAGACGTGCCAGGTGGCTCTCCTGAGCATGTCAGGTTTAGTTTATGGCCCCCTTTTCTTTCACACCATATAGCAGGTTGTGCTGGTTTTTAACTGGCAGATATGAAAAGTGGGTTGTGCCTCCACAGCATTCACATTCAGCAAACAGTTCTTATTCGTCACCACTATTAATGATAGAAATTCTCAACCAGGAGCTGGGGTGGGTCAGAGGGGACAGTCTACTAAAGTCCTGCCCCAGGAATAGCTGACTGAAAGGGAGAGAGAACCAGCGTTACCGGAGGGTTTACTAGAAATGCAGAATTAGGGCCCCACCCTAGACCTTCAGAACGGGAATCTACATTTGATTAAGATCTTAGGTAATCTGTGTGTGCATTAAAGTTTGAGAAGCCCAGCTTCAGATGGAGGTGAGCCACGTCCTGATTTCAATATTTTCAATCATTATATGTCTACCTTTACTTCTGCCTGAATCTTTCTCCTCCCACCCACTATCTAAGTGGTAGGCTGACACTCTAGATAGCAATCTAATAAAATACATACTTTTTTGTTCTTTGTCAAACATTTATTAATGCATTTCTGTGTGCTTGCCACTGTGCTGGTGGCTAAGAATACAAAGATGAATAAGACAAGATTCCCTTTGAAAGAGGTCTGAAGAAGACAGTGGGAGAGACAGATTTTAAAGAGACAAAGAATCTGGTATACCAAATGCTATGATAGGTCTTAGAATATGGCACTATGTGAGCAAAGAGGAGAGTCACTTCACGCAGACCAGAGATCTGGGAAGACCTCCTGGCCCATAGGAGTTAGAAGACCTGAATGGAAGAAGAACCTTCCAGGCAGGGATGGCAGGGAGGGAAAGAGCACAGTGCTTTTGAAATTTAGATATGATCTTTCTGTCCTCTTAGATATAAGTTGCGTATTATATGTATTATGCTCACTTAGTATCTTCTATTTGATGTATTTGTAGACCTCTTAAACTTAAAAAGACCAAGACAAAAATTTTTATTCCCTTTCTCAACCTGTTCACTCAGCTTTTCCATTTTGGTAAGTGGCATCAGCAGGCTGACAGTTGCATACCCAGATTCCAGATTCCTCCTCCTCTGTCTCCTACACTCAACCAGCTGCAAGTCCAGTTGCCTTTACCTCCAACATGGATCTAGTATCTCTTCATCTTCAATGTTACCACTCTAGTCCAAGCCACATTATAAGGCTGAACTTCTGCAACACCCTCCCTAATTAGGCCTGCCTTTCTACAATCTATTGTCCACACAGCAGCCTCTCAGAATGATTAACCAAAACACATCTAATGGTTTCCCATTGAATTAAAATGAAATCTAAGCTTACCTTGATCTGTCAGATTCTATCCTGTTCTTTGAGTAGAACAGATTCTATCCTGTTCTACTTTCCCTTGCTCACTATGCCTCTGCCACATGCACTTTTTTCTGCTTATTAAACATGCCTTGCTTGTTTTCATCTAGTGTCTTTGCATTCGCTGTTCCTACTGTATGGGACATGGGTCTCTTCATCTTCACTAATAACCAACCAATTTAATCCTAGACCCACCAAGCCATTTGCTATGATAAGGGCTTCATAGCACTTACCACAAACTTAAATGATTTGTGTATTATCTACTGATTGTCTGTCTGTCTCCTGCTCCAGGGTGCAGGCTCAGTGAGAGCATGGTGGTTTGTGGGTCTCAGTTCTGATCAGTGTTGAATCATCAGTGTTTGGAACAGCCAACCCAGAGCAAGTGTGCAGTTCTCCCGATTCCCACCTCTTCACTGTCCTTGCTCATGCTTTTG